ACTTATCTTAACTGTCTGGTTGAATAACACAGAATTTTGATTTTTAAAGTCTATTATAAAGATGAAGAAATGTCTTATTCTGCACAGCTACAAAAAGTGCATAATCATTTCTTTCTCTAGATTGGGCCATCTTCTATGTCACATTTTTCAGAAGATGTTTTATTTTTTCAAGGCCTTAAAAAGGTTTTTTGAATGTGTTTTAATAAACTAGTTCTCTGAGGCACTATGACAAGATAATGTTAATAACATTTCTTGATTTGTAAGAAAAAAGAAAAAAAATTCTTTCAATCTTCACAAAAAATGCTCTTGGCATCCCCAAAATATTCCTGAAATATGTAAAATTCTTTTACATCTGATTTGCCAAACTGCCACTTGATCAGCTTTCCCAGGCATATATTCTGGTATGCATGTAGGAAACATAAGGCATTATGGAAAATATTATTTATATTTATCCATTTATTAAGTTCTTTGAGAATCTATATGTCCTGGTGAAATTAAGAGCTCTTGACGTACGTTACTTTGCAAGAATATTTAAAAAATGAATAGTATGCACCTTTAATAATGATGAAGCTGTAGATTACATTTAACACATGTTGTAAATCAGGGGTGTTCAAACTTGGCCCTTTTCTGACTTGTGGACTTCAACTCCTAGAATTCCTCAGCCAGCATGCCTGGCTGAGGAATTCAGGGAGTTGAAGTCCACAAGTCAGAAAAGGGCCAAGTTTGAACACCCCTGTTGTAAATAGTTCCGGATAATCACTTGACAAATAATAGAGCAAGCACCTTCTGACTTTCTGTGTTACTATTGATAGAGGCTGATGTTTATAAAGACCCATAACTTAGTATGAGACAATTGCCAGATTTTTTTGAAAACAAATAAGGCAAAAGCATCTAAATCACCTATAATTCCTGTATGATGTAAATCAGCGGTCTTCAAACTTGGCCCTTTTATGACTTGTAGACTTCAACTCCCAGAATTCCTCAGCCAGGCATGCTGGCTGAGGAATTCTGGGAGTTGAAGTCCACAAGTGTTTGGTTGGCAACTGAGGTCAAAGAAGTTAAAAATATTTTTAAAAACTCAGCAATCTCTGTTTAGGAACAAACTGGGAAGAGTAGATCTCAAGCATTTTGCCCCATAATATTAGCCACTTGTTTGTGTGAATGTGTCACAAAGATTTACAGAACCCACTTGTTATTGAACACTTATCAATTGCTGTTCAAAAAATCACTAATAGCGTCTCTCCAGGAAGAAGTTGTTATAATACTTTTATTTCTACTGGTTGCCAAACCAGATATTTCAAGGTAAAAGCACATTCCTCTCTGGACAAAACTGATTTTAGCTTTCTGAGAAGCCCATTGCCACAAAGAAGATTCTGCATTCTCTCTATAACTAATGTATTACAGGTAATCCTCAACTTATAAGCATTTGTTTAGCAACTGTTCATAGTTACAATGGCACTGAAAAAAGTGACTTACAACTGGTCTTCGTGTTTATGACCGTTGCATCAACCCCACTGTCAGATGATCAAAATTTGAGTGTTTGGCAACAGCTGGGTCTTATCATCACCATTTGGTGCCTTCCCAGCAACTTCCAATAAGCCAAGTCAATGGGGGAAGATGGGTTTGCTTAATAACTGCATGATTCACTTAACAACCGTGGTAAAAATGTCATAAAATCAGGCACAACTCATTTAACAGCCACCCTGCTTAGAAACAGAAGTTCTGGTTGCAGTTGTAGTTGAGGACTCCTGTATTTATAAATGTGAAACATCTTCTCTCCCTCAAATTCTCTTTGTTCATGGAAAGCCACACCCGAATAATGGACAAAAACCTCTACTGTACGGATAGATCAACTTAAATGGAAATTCATTTACTTATACAACTTCATTCATATGGCAACTTTAGCACCCAGTAATTGTTTAGCAAAAGACATTGCCCATTTATTGCATATTGTTCTAAGGAAAAAAAGTCTCAACCTTGCTTGAAGCTTGTATTTGATCAGCCAAAGCTGGAGAAACACAAAGCCCAGAGAGGTGCTAGGCTTATCATGACCACATAAACCAGTGGTTCTCAACCTTTCTAATGCCGCGACCCCATAATATAGTTCCCCATGTTGTGGTGACCCCCAACCACTTATACATCACCGGGTGCCAGGGGCATGACCAAAGAAAAGGGGAAAAAAATGGCAGACAGCCTTGTTTGGTGACCCCCATGAAATGGTCGTTCGACCCCAAATGGGGTCCCGACCCACAGGTTGAGAACCACTGACATAAACCAACTGCAATTAACTCCTTTCCCAATTCCATGCTCCAATTGAAAGGACTTCTTTCTGTCCATCAAATGAAATAGCCTTTGTCCTGTAGCTCTTATAACATCAAAGAAGACTAATCTCAAAAATATTTATCCCCCAGACAGTGCTTCAACAGATATCTTGGCAAGTCCAGAGAGGAAAGTGTTATTATATTACATTATAACAACATTTACAAGGAAGGAAGGGTATTTCCATTTAAAAGAAAAAAAGGAAGGAAGGAAGGAAGGAAGGAAGGAAGGAAGGAAGGAAGGAAGGAAGGAAGGAAGGAAGGAAGGAAGGAAAAAATCTCCCTGGAAAGAGATTAATATTAAAGGGGGTCACAGCTTCTTTTTAAAAATGTAGTATTTATAGCTAGCAATCCAGGTAGCCCTTGATTACAGGTGCAGTTGGGATCGGATCATCCATTGCTAAGTGATGCAGTTGTTAAATGAATTGCTCCTTTTTGACATGGTCGTTAAGCAAATTCAATTTCCGCCACTGACTTTGCTTGCCAGAGGCTCTCTGGGAAGACTGCAACCGGCAATCGTTGTTTTTCTTTTTTCTAATTTTCCATTTCTGTTTGTTTGTCTTTTAACTTTGTATCTTTTTTTTGAAAACCAATAAAAGTTATTTTAAAACAGTAATAAATTCATGCTGGTGCCAAGCACCTGAATTTTGATCATGCCATAAGTGATTGCAATTATAAATCACTTTTTTCAGCACCCTTCATAACTTTAAAAGGTCATTAAACAAATGGCCATCAGTCAGGGACTACTTGTACCTTACCAGCTGCATGAGTAGCATGACATGTCGATGGCATACAGACACCTTGGTATAATTATCTTCACTTGCTGTAGACAAACAACATTTATTTTTCTACATAATCTCTCTGGAGTTCTCTCACAATTTGCAAAACTTATTATGTCACTCAGATTTTGAAAGCAACGTGGACTGTATATGCTATATTTCAAGATCTATTTATTGCGGGGCGCGTGGGGCAGCTCCACCACCCTCCACCCTCACCCTAGCTTTATTTTTACGTTTGTGCCTCGCCCCAAAACTAGGACTTATTTGGGGGGTAGAGTTTATATTAGGCGCATCTAGGGCTTATTTTTGGGATAGGTCTTATTTTTGGAAAAACACGGTATTAGATGGGAAAAAATTTCTACACTGCAGGGCATAAGGAAAGAGACAGGATGGTTTTGGACAGGGTGGTTCTCCAAGATAGATGGAGAAGAGAAAAAAGATACCAAAGAACGGGGGGGGGGGGGTGGATCCATTTTTAGAGGCAAACACAAAGAAAAATCTGACCTAAAGAAGAGGACTGAGATATATTTGAGGCTATGAACTCAGGAATTAGTTCTAGATCAGTGGTGGTGAACCTTTTAGAGACCAAGTGCCCAAAAACCGCCCCACCCCGCCAGCCCACCCCCAGCCTGCCCGCTCCCACCTTATCTGCCCGCAGGACCACCCACCACCTCCATGGCCCGCCACAGCTCACCCAGGGGACCCTGAAGCGCCACAGCAGCCATGCCCTCTGCCCGCATCCTGTAACATCATCTGCGCGCAATGGGGTGTGAGGGCGGAGTCTTCTCCCTACTGCCTGGCTGCCATGTCCTTGGCTGCGCTGCTCCGCGTGGGCCATGCCTGGAGGTGACTCTTTTCCGGGGGGGCTGCTGGGGAGGCGGGGCTGGGGCAACGGCACACGTGCCCATAGAGAGGGCTCTGAGTGCCCCTTCTGGCACGCGTGCCATAGGTTCGCCACCACTGCTCTAGATTATGTACAGCCTCTCAAGCAAACCTTTCCACAGGTAACTCTGTTTCTTTGTTGAAGATGCTTCAGTTCCCATAGATTGTCCCAAGAACCATCCTGAGACCAGGGAGGCATGTTGCAATGGTGGATGGTCAACTAAAGGTAGAAACATGATATCAAAATAAGGGTGCTTGTGGTCCATGCACTCAAATGCGGGATGTGATAGAGAGGCTACCAAGATCCTTTAAACTCACTGACAACCATCCTTCCCTTCCTTGCCACAGTTCTTAAGGGAATCACTGCAGTTGTTAAGTTATTAACCCGGTGGTTAAGTGAATCTGGCTTCCCCATTAACTTTGTTGTCAGAAGGTTGCAAAAGGGGATCACATGACCCCGGGACACGGCCACCGTCATAAATATGAGTCACTTGGAAAGCATCTGAATTTTTATCACATGACCACGGGGAGGCTGCAACGGTTGTAAATGGGAAAAGTGGTCACTTTTTTTTCAGTGCTGTTGTAACTCTGAACAATCACTAAATGAACTGTTGTTAAGTTGAGGACTATCTGTATATAAAAAATACAAGGAATAGCCCATCATCCAATGAGAGTACAAGGTGGTCTTCAAAAACTATAGGAATTGTTTCAAAATGGCTCCAATGCTTGGAAGAGGCTGAGCTTGTAAAAAAATGCTAATAGAAGATTTTGGGGGTATTTTAGAAGCAAAAGGAAAGCCAGATAGGATATAAGTCCATTGCAAGGAATGGTGAATCAATAAAGGATGAGTGTACAGTAGAAGTTCTGCCCCTTTTTTATATGACTCAGCACCAAGGCTGACATATAATCAATCACACAGTTATAGCTGACATCTTGACGTTTTGATAACCCCTCCCCCCCAGCATCCCTGTTTAGTTGAAATGTCAGCACTGGGACCCTTGCCCCAAATTAACTTTCCTACCTGAGGTAGCACTGCTGGTCTTTGTCCTGCCAACCTCTGCAAGGAACTGACCTGAGGAACTTTAATCGGCACTGAAGTAACGGTTCCCAAAGCCTGCCAGGAAAATTGAAAGAAAAAGAAAAGTATTTATTATTCAATTTGTCAACTTCATTGGTTGAGGGCTCTAAATTTTGCCTAACCCAGAGAGAAACTTAAAACCTGGGCCGTGATAAGTCAAGTTGTCACCTGTAAAAGCCCTGCTGAACACACAAATTCTTTCAGGGTCCAATCAGATAAGCAAATGATGAGCCGAGGTGGCGCAGCAGTTAGAGTGCAGTACTGCAGGCCACTTTAGCTGACTGTGCTCAGCAGGTCAGCGGTTCAAATCTCACCGGCTCAAGGTTGACTCAGCCTTCCATCCTTCCGGGGTAGGTAAAATGAGGACCCAGATTGTTGGGGGCAATGTAAATATATATATACATTGCTTACTGGTGTACACCGCTTAGAGAGTGCTAGCACTTAAAGCGGTATATAAGTCTCATAAATAAATAAATAAATAAATAAATAAATTTAGAAGCTAAAATCAGAGTGAAGAAATGTCTCCAAAAAAAATTCTCCTTCTTAATCGCTTTTCTTTCTTAGTCCCACTTTTTCTTCCCCTGACAAACCCAAGTCCCAGTTCATTTCAGCAGCTAAGTGAGTTCTGGAGAACAGAAAAAAAAAAAAAAAATACTCAAGCAAGACAAAAAGTGCGGACAAAAAAATAAAAAAGAGGGAAAGAACAACTCAGCCAAGCAGTTTCTTTGTATAGCTAAATTCATTTCTCTTGGTACCTGAGGACTCGCCAAGCTGGTTATATAATGTTTTCCAATGAAATTATCATCAGTTCTGTCACCTACATACTCGGAAAATGCCGCCAATTAATTTCTCTGAAGAAGTCTGCTGTCACCTCTCAGGATTATGGAGACAAATTATGGTATTCTTCACTTATGAAATTTTTAGTGCTAAACAATATGTACTTAATGTTTACCAACCTCTTAATATTAAAACTTGGCTGTTTAATATTTAACAAAGAAAGATATTAAAAAAAACATAGGGCAGATCCCCTCTGATTTTTATTTCTATTATTTTCTATATGCATAGCTAATTTGTGACTTCTATCTATGTGAATTTTGCTGATAAGCTGTCTAGCAGATTCTGCACAGAACAGAACTATCTTGGAATTGTAATGTGTTGATTTTTTTAAAAAATGTTTGTTTTATTTATCAGTCCGCTGAGAATGGGAGAGAAAAAGCAGATGAGTAACAATCAGGAGATAACATAATAATATGAAAAAAAATGGATATATATTGCTACTTATTTATTTATGGTAGCATCCAGCCAACATTTTTAAATACTATTGGTTTCAGCCGGAATGAGTTAAGCATATGCAGATGATATTAATGCAACTAATATGGGCAAAAACTGGCTATTTACAATACAGCCCTGAGCATGACTAAAATGAGAATAAAGACATAAAGAAGTGCTCATTTAATGTACAGAAATTTAATGTAATGTTGAGAAAAATCAGATTTTACACTTAGGCAAGAAAAGCCAAACGTACAAGTACAGATTAGGTGAAGCCTGACTCAAAAGCAGTAAGTAAGAGGGATCTTAGAGTCCTAGTGAACAATCACTTGTTTGTTTTTGTGTGTGTGTGTGTGTGTGTTTGTGTTTGTTTGTTTATAAAATATATTGGTTGCTGATCTTACCATAAGGCAGTGGTGGCGAATCTATGGCATGGGTGCCAGAGGCAGCACTCGGAGTCCTCCCTATGGGCACATGTGTCATTGCCCCAACCTCACCTCCCCCGTGACCCTCTCCTCTCCAGCAGCCCCCCTGAAGGAGAGTCACCCCTGAGAGTGGCCCACACAGAGCAGTGCAGCCAAGGACATGGCAGCCAGGCAGCGTAGACAAGACTCTGCCCTCACACCCCATCATGCAGTTGATGCTGCAGGGTGTGGGCAGAGGGTGTGGCCACCATAGCACTGCTGGGCTGTCTGGGCAATCTGCAATGGACCCTGGAGGCAGTGAGTGGTCCTGTGGGCAGGCGAGGTGGGGGATGGGGGAGCAGAGTGGGGTCGGGGCCAGTTTTTGGGCACTCGGTCTCTAAAAGATTCCCCATCACTGCCATAAGGTTTTTCTGGGTGGCTTACACTCAAAATATATGTATACATTAGAACATAAACAAATCAAAAGCAAGAATTAAAAACCAAGGAGGGCAGGGGCAGAATGGGAGAGGTGGGATCTGTTGTTACTTTGATCAACCACCTCTATTGTGCTGCTCCTCCATTGGGGCCAAAAAAGCCAATGCAATCCTTGGTTGCATAAACGAACATGTATCAAGAACAAGTATTAGTACCACCTTATAAAACCTTAGTAAGACCACATCTCGGTTTTTTTTTTTTTCAAGACAAAAACAAGGCAACTGGACTTTCTTGTTTCCTGTTTTTCTTTGAAGACTTTTTCTCATCCAAGAATTTTTTTCAGCTTCTTGGATGAGAAGGAAAATGTCTTCAAAGAAAAACAAGAAAGTCCAGTTGCCTCTTGAAAAAGCACCTCTATGAAAAACAACATAACTTGGATGATTGAGAACCTCCATAGACACATCTGGAATATTGCATCCAGTTTTAGCTAGCATGTAATAAAAAAGAAGAAAGAATGCAGAGAAGAGCAACAAAGATGATTAAGGGCCAGGAGAGTAAAACATATGAAGTTTTAGGAATTGGGAATGGCTAGTTCAGGGGTAGGCAACTTTGGTTCTTTTATGACTCGTGGACTTCAACTCCCAGAATTCCTGAGCCAGCATGGCTCAGCATGGAAACCTCTCCCTTTTCCCTCAGCATGGCTGGCTCAGGAATTCTGGGAGTTGAAGTCCACGAGTCATAAAAGAGCCAGGGTTGCCTACCCCTGGGCTAGTCTAATGAAAAGAAGGACATGATAGCTGTGTTCCAATATTTGAGGGGGCGAGAGAGAGTGACTGGCCCAAAGTCATCCAGTCACAGCCTTCATGGGTAAGATGGGATTTAAACTTTAAGATTCATGGGGCACAAGGTGAAGCTTTCTTCCACTACTGTCTGGTGGCATATATGGAGTCCTGAACAGCTGTAACAGCCATCCTATACTTTAAAATCTCAATGTACTCAGAGGTCTGAAATAGTGTAATTTTTGCGTTGACGAAGGCTAGTTCTATTTTTCATTCTCATTAGATTCAGATGAGGTTTTGACATGAGTGGCTGAGGAATTCTGAGAGTTAAAAGTCTACACATCTTAGAATTACCAAGTTTGAAAAACACTAATCTAGATGATAAGTAATAAACTGTAGATGAATCTGCAGAATGAAAATGTTACATATTGCTGTGTACAACTGATTCTGCACAGATAAAGAGATATTGTTGTTTAAGTTGAAAATGCTTTGGGAACTAGAGATGTATCTTGAAGGCCTGATTACTGCTTCCAGCGCTGTCTTGGTTGGGAACACAAAACTTAACTTCCACATTTTGTTACTGTCATCATTATACACAGGACTAATCTTGAATGTATTCAAATGCCTCAAGTAGTACAGATTTTGGATGCAGGAATTGTGTCTGCCTTATCCAGGTGAAGGCATTGTTTATCCAGTTCAAAATACTACTTTTCTATGCAATGGAGAATGAGAGCTTAACCAAAGCTCTGCTATTAAAATTTACCATCAGGCATGTTTTGTGCCTTATCAAACTAGATTCAACCCAACATCCTGCTAGATTCAAGATAACCCCTTCTAATTTTCCCATTCCATGCAACATTGTAATTGTTTTTGGAAAACTTCATAAAGAAATTTGGTTACAGTTAATTCTCCCAATAAAAACTCTCAATACATTTGGCTTAACATCTAAATCAGGGCTTTTCAACCAGTGGTACGGGTACCACCTGTGGTACATTGGCACCTGGCAGGTGGTATGCGACCATCTTAGAAAAGTGGTAATGGGGGAGGGGAATGAGCTGAACCGGTGGCAGCACAGCACAACCCTGAGCGAGAGATGGCTGGAGCTGCAGAGCTGTCAGGGCTCAGCGGAAACGCCAGGATCATGCCGCTTTCTAGCTGACTGGCGGTTCTTTGGGGCTGTCAGGGCTCAATAGAAGCGTCAGGATCAGCACCAGGCTCTAGCTGGAGCTCGGCGCTGATCCTGGTGCTTCTGCTAAGCCCTGAAGAAGCACCAATCAGCTGGAAAGCGGCACTGATCCTGGTGCTTCTGCTGAGTCCAGAAGAAGCGCCGATCAGCTGGAATGTTGCAGCATCTCCAGGGTCTTGTGATTTACATTCAGATGCTTGGCAACTGATTCATATTTATGACGGTCACAGTGTCCCAGGGTCATGTGAAGTGACCAAAACATGCTGCAACCACCCAGCAGACGGGGGGAATAAAAACCAAACAACCCCTACCCCACCACCGCTGCCAATCCTCAGCAGAAATGCTCACAGCAATGAAAACCTCGGACAGGAGGAAGAGCACCGCCGGGCGGACAGGCAGGTGTCTTGCTCGGCTGTGGCTTGCGGGGCACTTTTTTCAGTGCCATTGTAACTTCGAACAGTCATTAAGCGAATTGTTGTAAGTCGAAGACTACCTGTATTTTATCCCTTTTTTTCATTTTTTTTTTGGTCATCAAGTTTTTGACACCTTGCTAGGCGACTGGTGGTACTCGGATGTTGCCATATCCTAAAAATGGTACAATGGGTGAAAAGGTTGAAAAGCCCTGATCTAAATGAAGAGCAAATAGCAAGTTTCTAGCTTACATATTAGCAAGAATTTGAGGAGCTTTATGTCGTATCTTCTCAGCTGGAAGTTGACAAGGACAGAAGACAGAGCAATGAAGGACACAGGAGCTTAGACTATCAAAGCTATGGTAAAACTCAATTTCTTTGTGAATTCCCAGCTCACAGACAAAGCAGAATGGCCTGGTATGGGGAGGGGGGTGTTGTGTGTGTATTTTTATGAGAACAACTCATATATAAACTGGGAGTAAAGCTCATTCATTATACAGATAGTCCTTGACTTACAACAATAATTGAGCCTGGAATTAAGGTCATGCCGGTC